TCTTACTTTTAAAAGGAAACTAACTAACCTAAGCAAACAAACAATAAAATCAATATACACAGTTCTTCCCTAACTCCCTATCTAACAAAACAGATGACATAAAGAAAGAAAATGTCAAACTCCCTACTTCCCTGCACATTATATACAAGTGTTACAAATAGGTTTAATGTACAACTATATACACAGCAAACAGATCCAAAAGGGTGTAAGAATACGTGTTCAAGATTTGGAGCCTGGTCGGGGTTATCAAAAATTCAGCCGAACGACTTCTCTCGTTCTGGGAAATTTATTTGTCAGATCACAGGTCAAGTATCAGCGCTGCGTTTGCAAAGGCAGGAGCAGTTCAGGCAGCACACAGGCCGGAAGAACAACTCACTAACATCAGCAAGAACATCATGTTTTATAACCCTTGAAAGACAGAGAAGGAAAGATTTCTATTGGCCCTAAACTGGCGTAGAGGAGGACCTTCCACCTCCCGCATCTAAAGATCCGGTCACATCCAATGTCCAGACTCCTGACTTAACGTAAACATCAGCGAACAGAGTGTGTATGTTGAATAGTGTTGGTGTGTCTCTAACCCCCCTTTGGCTGGTAAATCTTCTAGTTGACCCGCAGACCTTACATTCCTCAGCCAGGACATGAACTGACTCCCCATCCTGTCAGTCTGCTTGGCAGATCCTGCTTCCCCCCTTACCTAACTCTTAAATCAAGACAAGACAGCAAACCCCCAACTAAGCCCATGAACAGAACTTTTGATTATCAAGGGCAAGGCAAGAATCAAGGCCGGAATAACACGTAATTTAAATCCTAAATATTTTTATATTAATTTTAAACTTTTCAAAATTGAAAATTAAAAACATTTTATTTATTTATTGTAAATGACCTCTCGCGGCCCACCGGCAGTACCTTCCCACTGGTGAGCCGCGGCCCACACTGCATTAGAGGCTTGTTAGTTAGCCTCGCTGGTTTAATGGATCACGTGTCTTCCTCTACAGCCATAACATCAACTACCGTATATGACAGCATTAAAAAGTACAACACATACAAATATATTTGTCAACAATAACCAAAATGGGATAAAGCGCGAAATACAAGACAACAGATAAAAAAATGAATGGTCCAAAAAAGGCGTGTAAATGAAAATGTGTCTTAGTCTTGCTAACTGCTTTACTGCTGTTATTAGCGAGCTAACGCTAGCGTGTTGCCTGCTGGAGGCTCTTTACGTTCCTCACGTCAAAACGGGACAACGTGGTGCTGCTGTGCCATGTTACGCTGACTTAACATATTTTGCCATTGACACTATTTTAGTTTATTTAGTGTGAAATGCTCGCACACCTTGGACGACTTAACTCGAACAGACGTCTTTGCCTGCGTCATGTAACTCACAACAACTGCCGGCACTGTTGGCTGCCCTTTCCTCTACGTCGGCTCGGCTCTTATATTTTTGCTCTGTGCGGAGTGACGTAATAATCGCGTGATCACACTTCTAATAATCAATTTCTTCGATTCGTTGTTGCAGCCCTACTGGTAACAAAAGCATAGTGCAGTGCGCATGTTAGGCTGCAGGACAGAAACTCCGGCACTGTTTGTCCTGCTTAGATTGAAGAATTAGCAGTGTTATGGGATCCTCAGGCACTTTCTATGTTAAAACATGTCCGTACATGAGCATTCACGAGGTGTTCTGCTTTATATATTTCTGGTTAAACGTGGGCGTGTGGAGGGCGGGAATTGCTCTAGCTGCGCACATTTACATGTTGATTCAGGATCTATAACAGGAAATGGACTGTATGCACTGTAGGCGTAATCCGTTTCACGAGAAAGAAGAGTTTTAATGCTACCTAAAACCTTTGGGCCAACTTAAAATGTAACTAATATATATGCGCTCCTGCATACTGAGTATTTTTTCTTCTTTTTCTTTAGGTTCAGCCGGTTGTCTCTTCATCTCAGGAGCGTTCCCACAGCGACTCGTCAATGCGCCGCCAACCGACGTTCCCTCCGGTCGTATCCTCTCACTACAACTTCCCTGAGGTGTCGGCCCTGGCCTCGGCCCCGGGGCCCAGCCTGTACGCCTATCCGGCCTCCACGGCTCTTTCCTCGGCCTCTCAGGCCATGGAGCAGCTGCTGAGCCGTGGCCACGCCGGCCACGCACACTCTCCCTCCGCCTATGCAGCGACGTACGCTTCGTCCTCTTCCTCCAGGAGGGACTCGGCCGGTCGTAAGGACTCTGTTAGTAGTCTCCTGCATGGCCTGCCCGCCGTCTACCAGCATCCTTTCGCCACTGGGTCTCCTTACGTTAGTGTGACTCCCCGGGCCGAGGCTTACGGTGCCTACCAGCTAAGCCCCAGGCGCCTCACACAGTACCCATTCCTATAGGGATTCACACACAAAAATTCTACTTTCCCACAATTTACCACAAAGGGAGTTTTAAACTGCATTTCTATCAGAATAACTGCTGTCCGCTTATTTGTTTGCTACTTTGGTCTCAAATGCGGCATTTCCCCTTCGACTCATTTACAAGCTTTTTTAGGGTCTTTTTGTGTATTTTAAATCTTTTTTTTTCTATTATTTGATGTCATCATATCGGTAAATTCTTCCCTTAACAATATTGCTTATAACCCTTATTTTACACCCATCTTATCCAGATGTATGATTATGGCATTGTGGTAAATGTATTTTACTCCTGTTTATCTCGAGGTCTGTGTGGAGAGAGACGTTCCTCCTTCCACAAGCTGCAACGACACTTTAGGTGAACTTTAGAGACGCCTAACTCAAAGTTAGTGAAGGGCTAGCTGAAAGACAACTCCATGCCCTTTGTTTCTCATCTCTCTCTCTCTCATGAAGCCTCATGAAGTGTTTCACACTAACGCAGTGTGGCCCTTTTTATTTTTGACAAAAAAAAATTGACTACCTTAACCATGTCTGATTCATCGCAATTGTGTTGTTTACATATATTTTTAAATATGTTTTGTCATTGTGAGAAAGGAAGAGAAAGGTCCATGAAGATGTTAAACATGAGACGAGCTGTGGTGAAAACTGTGATGGATACATGTTAATTTAAGTGCACATGTGATAGTCTGTTAATATAGTGACAGTGTTTAGGCAGGATTTATCATGTCCTTATGCAATAGAAACAAAAAAAAAAGATTAAAAAAACGCATCAACTTGAGTGCTGAATGTATTTATGAAGTACAACGGAGTTAGATCACCATCCTGAGGAATGACGTGATAGGCGTTTGTATTAATTTTCTTAATTTTTCCTATATTATAATATAATAATATATAACCTTCTTCCCTACCTTTTTGCCCCTGAAATATAAAAACAAGAACAACTATTCTATACTTCTGGATTCTGTTGCTGTTGGACATTGATTTATAAAAAGGATCCATGGTCAGTTTGAACAGTTTGTATATTCATGAACTAGTTTCTTCTCCTCGTGACACTTTGGATAGTGCTTGCTAGGAAGTTGGGATTTTGACAAATCGGCCTTCTACTCATCTACTCTGTGGCTGATAGTCTTGTCTGAATAAGAAATGTTGAAGTCCTCTGTTTTTTCACTTGTAGATCCTGCAGTGCGGACACGAGCGTCACGCTGCTCAGTCTGGCCTGATTTGTGGCCGTTCCTCAGTCTTTTAGTTCAAGGAGGTGAATCTCGGGGTGGTTTCTGTGGGTTATGAAAGCTTCTTAGTGAACACTTCCCTGTTGTGTATGCGTCAGTTTTGTGTTGTAATGTCTGAATATTTAACTGTATTTCACCATAACATAGTATAGTTAAGAGGCTATTTGGTAGATCTAATTCAGGGAAAAAGGTTTCAGCTCAAATAATCCACTGTTGCTGTTTTCAATAAAAAATACTCGCATATTCACAACGCTTTTTCATTATTACTTGCCCCGTTTTCCAACTGTTTATAAACGTTTGGCTTTCCACGTCCCTGCGTGCAGATACTCCAGAGAAAAGGTAGTAGTGTATATAGGATCTTTAAATACCATTAATACAGTGGCACGAAAACAGACTTAATATACTTAATATCAGACGCTTTATAGGGCCTTTTCTTGGATTATGGAGCAGATTCAATGGCCGTTACAGATTTAATGAGAACAATGTGTGAACGTTTGACGTTATCTTGTCTTGAGTCTTGTTATTGATTCAAGGAATGGAAGCTTTTGTCACCTTCTGCACAGTATTTACAACAAAAGCAAAGCCGGTCACACGCAACCATATAATCGGCGCTATTGGAGAAAGCTAAAAAAAAAGGGCTGCTCGTGAATATTGTGAATAAAAGTAAAATAAACATCTAGGAACATTCTAAAAGTGAAGAAGCTCAAACATCGGTCTTGTCTTAAATGAAAAACTATTCTCATAAGTGGTTTACAAAGATGTTGAAATTACATATTTCGTGAACATTATAAGAATCAATATCCTAGCAAATCAAGGAACTTCAAGGAATAAACTATTTTATTATATATAATTGTAAATATGTTGGATAAGTTTTTGACCTTCCACTTTGTCATTTTTAGGATATTTATGTTAAATGTGCATGTACAAAGCATTTTTTTGATATAGTGTACTATACAATTTGTAGACCTATTTTGTATGAAATGCGTTTGACATTTAAATGTAATTCATAATGTAACATTCCATTTTTACGACCTAACCTATCATGACATTTAATTTGACTTTTGATGACTTACAAAAAACTTTGACACATATTTATGACATTTATGACTATTTACACATTATACTGTGACTTTTAAGATATTCTCTAGGACAATTTTTGTTAAAACCATTTTTCTATATTTGAAAAAAAATATTAAATATATTTAAAACCGCTAAAATATTTTTTCCTAAAAGGAATCTAAAAGATATACATCAAAAACTTCCATCTGACACACCTAAACCAAATGAAGAAATACAATACTCCAGCCACTGCGTTTTCTGTTAAATAAATCCTGCTAAAGAGTAACTTTGAGGGTAACAATCCTTCCCTAATATATGCGGAGATCCAGATCACAACTGTTTTTATTCCAAATGCACCAAAAACATGGTGGCAATGTGACACAAATAGTGAACAATACATAAATAATTTTCTTCAGATCAGAAGAAACTCACAATTCACTGATGAACATGGATTTGTTGATATTTCAGTTATTTTTAAACTAATTCACAAACTTCACAGTTGTTTGGGTCCTTCACTCCCAAGACCAGCAGCGACAGATATCTGTCCATCTTTCTGGTTTTGTAAAACTAATTATATATATACACATACACAAGTCAAAATAGCTAGGTCTGTATTGTAAATATAATAATCAAATACAAGTCTAAGAATAAACCACCAAATAATACATTTTCTGGAGTTTTAAATTGAAATTTTTTTCAAATTAAAACGTATTTGTTCAATGAAAACAAGGCAACATTTATACGTTATATATTCTGGGGTATCAGTGATTAGCAACAATAGTTCTTTGAGCAGTATTAACGTATTAAGGTTAATCATCTGTTCATTTATAGGCCATTTCAAAATGTCAATAAATAACTTTCTTACTTCGAATCATTATTACTCAAACCTTTCATTGCTGCAAATGTAAGCCAAACATGTCAGCGAGAAGCATTGGAGTTAAACGTGCCGAGCAATGGAGATGCGGAATGAGCGGTCACAAGTCGTTCATCTCTCGTTAGTGCACCAGGACGCAGCTGAAGATTTTTTGAAGTGAGGACGTGAAACCAGCGTGTCTGGAATCAGGGCTGAAAAGGGACAGACACAGATATGTTCAATCGGGCGTGCATTGATCAACATGAGGCATGCATTGATTTTACAGAAGAAAAATCTTAGAATGAAAACTGATGACACACTTCGTTTGTACCTGATGCGTGGGGTCTTCGTCTGGTGTAAATCCAAATGCTGCTCCTTCCCCGGCGTCTCCTCTGGAATCATATCCCAGATATCCGTGTTGACCCACAGGGCTCCGGGCAGGGTCAGACTGGCTCGGGTGCAGGTGGTCCAGCGACACAGAGGGCAGGACACTGTCCGGATGACCCCCTCCAGCTTGGACATTTTCTCCAGGCAGGGGGCGCAGAAGGTGTGGTTGCAGTGAAGGACCCTTGGGATCCGGCCCCTGCGCGAGTACTCGCAGCAGCACACGACGCACTCGAGCGCCTCGCTCACAAACATGGTGGAGCGGAGTGCAGCCCTTCACCACACAGCACGTGACAAAAAAGAAAAGAAAAGAGGACTTTGCATCAAAAATTCAATATCGGATGGATTGGTAAATCTTTTTTTCTATTGATAAAAGAAATCTAAATAAAACCGAAAAGCGCTACTTTTTCAGAGAAGGTAGAGCGTCTTTGGACTCGGGTTTGTTGTGGCCGTTTGCACTGTTCGGGCTTTATTAAAGCGGTGCCTGATGACACGCCTCACCTGGTGATGTCACGTTTTCCAGGGAAACACTCGCACTGAAAGGTCTTCTCTGGAATTCAACCAGGTGGCATATTTTCCAGCTGACAGGGGGAGCAGCAGCAAATTACTTCCTCAAAGTAAAAAAAAAAAAAAAAAAAAAAAAAGGTATACAGCCTTCGTGAGCAATCTTGCATTTCATGAGAAGGACGTCTTTATTTGCAGAACATGAAACCCTGACCTCTTTATACAACAACTCCCTCGATGTTGGAGACATTTTGAAATACAATGTCACCGAAGCAGATTAGAAAAAAAGGTTTTCTAAAATAACCTGCCGAGCAGAGATATTTGCATTTACTATGAACACATACAATGTCACACGAGAATAACTGAAGCATGGAGATTTGGGCATTTGCTGTATAAGCACACAAAAACTCACTCATAAGTTTGTCTTTTTCTAAGATGGTGCCAAAGAAATAGCAATAAAAAGGCAAATATTCTGCTTTCAACCACTTTGCTGTTGAACAGTCGATACACAGTAGAAACATCTTTACTAAATGCAATGCACAACAGCAATTATCAGCAAATATGTGAGCCCGGCCCATGGTCCGTCTGGGTGTTTGTGACAGAAAAGCCGAGACAGTTTCTATAAATAAGAGAAACAAAACCAAAATAATTATCAAAAAGAAAATATAAAGAAACGAAATGTGTGTCTCTTTACATGGACCTTTATAGATTGGTGCTATATTGGTCATCTAAGCCAATTAACCAAAAAAGAAGAAAGAAAAAAAGAGATGCTGGTCTATTTACTTGTGTGCAGACACTGGGTTCACCGCTTGGCTCACAGGTTGACAGAAAGGAATGTCTGGACTTGAGGTTGAACTTTGACCACCTTTATGCAGATAGTCTGAAGATTGCCAATTCAAAGTTATTTATCTTTTAATCTAACTAAAGAAAAATATAGATTACAAATGGACTCAGCAACATTTTTGTAGGATGACTTCTTTCTGCACTAGTCGCCTCGCCTGTGATGTCTCAGTTATACGCTCAAGTGCAGGAAATCGATCCTGCTGGAAAGTGCCAGCATGATCATCTTTGATAGTAGCGATTAGTCTTCTAGGTTTGTGTGTAAAATTCATTCTGCTGTATGATTACGTGTTAGATTTCATCTGAAGATCAACACATTGCCAGGAAGAGAAAAACAGGTTACATTTCCACCTCAACAGATACATTGGAAGTGGAAAAACCAGTTATACAGCTGCTGTTTGTAACTTTAAGAGTGACAAATGCAAAAAGATGGTTAGTTAGTTGAAGACCTTTCAAATGCTCGCATAACTGGTCTTTGTTGTGCTCCCTTAATCTTGACTTAAACATTGGTCTCTGTAACAGCTAGAGGAGCCTCTAAGATTGGATGAATGACCAGTGAACAGTGCAGTGGGAAATACTTCTTTTAAAAAAGATGGGTATGGAGTAGCCTGTTCTGAGAATTACAGACTTAAGCTTTTTTTTTGGTAATGTTCATGAGGCAGAAGAACAATGCCGCCTTTTAACATCTTTCTGTAGTAGTGACCTACAGCACGCTTGCTTTAGTTCTATACTCTTCCACAACCCATGAGCCAAGTTTGTTCCTACTGCAGACACAAACCACTGAAGCACAGAGTAGGTCTTAACCGTTTTACTAAGCCCCTTCAATTCCCCGGCACTCCTCCTCTCAGTCCTTCTTGGGTTGGCCGGCTTTGAGATTCCGTCATCCAAAGTCTGTGGTGGTGGTGGTTGTGGAGGAGTTTAACTTAGGACTGAACAGCCCTCCCCTACGTAGTGTGTTTGTAGAATATGGAGTCCGATAGCTGGCTCCCCTGCAGGGGGACACCCCGAGCTCCACTCACTCCTGGGCTATGCTCCTCAGCACGTACTTGACCGTGTAGGCAAACGCCGCAAAGCCCACAATAACAAAGAGGTTGGCAAGAGCCCCACCTAAAAGTCCATGGTTGCGATTGGCCTGTTGCACGCCAGGGGCAGGGTTGGCGCCCCCGAGTGGGGCGGGACCTCCGTTGAGGGCAGGGAGCCCGTAGTGGGCGTGCTGAGGGTCCCCGTCAGGAACGACATCGGGTAAGGGGAGAGGCTGAGTGCGGGCGCTTAGCTCCTCCTGGGCCTTTTGTTTCTGCTTCATCTCCTGGTGTGGGGAAGGAAAAAAATTGGAGCGTATTAGGCTAACAAAAAAAAAAAAAAGAGAAAAGCAACCGGAAGTTAGAGATCCCCTCATACATACATCGACTACATCAGGAAATAGTTCACAAAATACTTTATCCTTGAGGTTGAAGGCCAGACTCTGGGCTGACAGCTGTCTTTTCTGCAAAGAAAGAGCAAATCAAACATTTGGGGCATCCCAGGTGGGTCGCTAGTATGTGCAGCGTTTTTGGTCATTCGTTTGCACTCACTGTGTAGTCAGAGGTCTCAATGCTGCCGAGGGTGGGGCCTTTCTCCACCATAAAGCTGAGCAGACCTGTGAGAATGGTGGAGACGGACCACGCAGGGTTCCACGTATCTGGATGGAAGTCTGTGATGGACAAACATAATCTGTGGAGAAAACAGGTTGCAGAGGTACAATAAAAGATCATTAACAATCCATTTTAAAATACTGTAAAGTCTGACTTTTCTTCAACAATTTCACTATATTCTTACCTTGTATTGCACTTAAATCTCCCATTTGGTGTTATCATATAGATGCTTGGTGGTTTAAAAGGAAATTCCCGAGGAAATATGAGTTTGCCGTGATAATATCCCCCTAAGGAAAATGTATTTGACATGTTTCAAGTTTGAAATTTGAGACAAAAAACTGAAATCTGTAATCACATCATTCCCAAAACGGAAAGAATGGGCAGGAATCTACTTAGAATTAACAAAATATTGCCAGAAAACAACACTACTTGGATATTATGGGTTATGTTAACTTAACAAGTGAATTTTACCTTCATATGGAGTTTTCTCAGGCCCTCTGACTACATAATGCCTAGAGAAGACAGAAAAGATTTCCATTAGTGACATCCATGTTTCCAAAAAATTCTAAATTAAATTTCTCATTATCTTAAAAAAGGATTTCAGTTCAGATAAATAAACAGCTGAAACCTCCATAGGACCATAATATATATTTTCATCACAAGACATTTGTCTGAAGTCGCTCTCTGATGCACGAATGGAGTTCTTCTCAAACTTGAAATCAAAACAGGAAGTGCACTTGTATGGACATCACATGTCAGAGACATGCAAGAATATTGTGATTCATGACATTTCTAGCCAAATCATCTTTGATTCATTTGTTATTTTATCTCTTCATCATCAGCAGCACAGTATTGTTTTCCATTTTGGTTTTGTTTCATCAACTTGACTGACTTTTTTTGCTAACTAATAACAAATCATCCATACACTTAAAAATACAAGCACATACTGGAACAGACTTAGTAGTTCCAAAAAAATATATATATATATTAAAAGGAACCAGGAATGGTAACAATAATACCTTTGTTTTTATAGTGCTTTTCTTAGTATCCAAAGACACTTTACAATGTAAATCTTTTATTGGAATCATTTAAATGTGAACATATCAGTATGATTATATAGAAGATTAAACAATTTCTGGACACAAGGGCCTCAGTGAAAAGCTTTCTAGAATTCTCTGCTGAGAGCATAATAAGGGTCCAAGTTAGAGCGATGAAATACAACGCATTGCCTTTGTGATTAAAATGAGTTCAGGATGAACACCTCACCATTCTAGGATGTTGGAAGGGAGAGGTTCTGCACAGATGTAAGGCACAGGGTCTTTCTTTATCCTGAGGTAATCCTGCTTAAGTCGCTGAGTTGCTGTAGTTGGAGCTCTCTTATTCCCGTTGTTGTTCATCTAAGGATTTAGAGGAAGATTTAATGAAATTCATCTTGATATAGTCTCTTGAAATTGACACACAGAGGCTCTAGTATGAGGTTATATTCCCTTATGGCTGAAAATTGTTTCACAAAACTACTCAAATATAAGTATACAAAATGCAATAAAACTTAAGTGGAAAAGTAAAGGGATATGTGGCCATTTTATGAATAAAAAAACGTGTTTTATATTATAATGCAATTAATTAAAAACAGGAAACAAAAAAGGAACATCTGGATCACTTAGATAATAGATACTTAGTTAATTGTGTAATTTAAAAACTATTCTCTTTGAGCAAACTTTTTACTTATTTTATACAATTAATATAGACTGACATATAGATGACCCTGACACAAGAGAAAAATAATGTATACTACATACAAGACAAACCGGCATGGACTTCAAATGATTGAAGTTTGAAATGGTAATATACAAAGTACTAGTTAACGTAGTATTTGGAGATCTTATTGCTAATATATTGGCAATACAAGTCCTATCTAATACTATCCTTCTATCTCGGCGCACTGATCAGCAAACTGCTCCCGTGTCAACTTCTGGTCAATCGCAGATTCGATTTAAAAGGAAACAATCAATAGTTACATAATAATTCCACTTCAGGCTAATAGGACACAGCCTCAAGGTGTGACTCAGTGATAATCAGGCTATTTATAATAACGCTGGCTTGAATGTGTTTTTCGAAGTGGAGGCTGGATTGATCGCCCCAACCAGTTTACAATATAACGCTAACGGCCTGTACTTTGAAATGATGGCAGGCTCACTTCCTAATAAACCACAGGCTTCTGAGCTTTGACGCAATTTATCTAAACTGGGTTACGCTAACCAACACTACTTGGAAAACTAATACGCCATCGCCAAATCTCTTCCTAAACGCACAAATCGATTGATTGGCAATATAGACCCGTGTAACGTTAAATCAACTTAAAACTGCAGAATGTCCTCACGTCACTGCCGTCAACTGTTATCATTCAAATCGAATAATAGGAACGACGACTCAACACACCGACTTTAATTAAGCTAGCAGGTAACGTAGCCAGAGCTAATGGGAAGTCCTATCTGTGTGAACTAACGTTATGATGACCACCAACGGTTAACGTCAGCTAACGTAGGCCAGAGCTATGTTTGGCTACGTAGCGTTAGCGGTGGCTAGTTTTGTTACAACCAAGAACGGCCTTCCAAATCTCTCGTATTTACGAAGTAGATAAAGTGTAGTATATACATACCTCTCGAGACACTTCAGTGACAATGTGTATCCGTGGCTGGACACGAAATAACGCTTTTGTTTCTGTTGTCAAACCCCAAAGCAATAAGACGATGACACCAACGTAGCTTTAGCTATTGCCAGAAGACAAACGACACTTCCGCTTTCCTTCTTCTTCGCTTTCTTGTCTTCTTCTTCTGTGGTGATTAGCGGTAGCTTGTATCCTATTAGTTGCATTACTGCCTTTTTTTCTAGGGAGTTTATATTGTTTTGAATGACATACATTTTGGTGTATTGGACATCGTACTGGAATCACCGCAAATAAGGACTTTGTCTGGTCGTTGTTGTTTATGTGTCAAAAATATTACAATGTAACGATTGTACTCTGTAGCTCTTCCACCCACGCCTTGTTCTGTTACCAATATATACATATTTATTTCACAAAATACCGAGTATTGATCACTGCAAATGGTTCCTTCGTGATACGCTTTCCATTCATCCACTGGGCCAATATCATTATCAGTTTTATTTCCATCATTTAGGTAGACTAAATGCCCTTCATCAAACAGTTCATTTGTTGTCTTACTTCCTCATATCCCTTCATATAATATGATGCACTGCTGCTTTGATTATAATTTTAATCCTCCATGTCAGACTTAACTTGAAGTTGCGTTCATCACCCCTGCTATGAAAGTTTCCTCTTCTGCCCTCATGCTCTGATTTTGTCATTCCTTTCTGCCTCCAATGTCATTTGCCTTTGCAATTAAGCTCTTGTGCTTCTTCTGCTGTCTCACCAATGTAACTGCTTCTGCATAAGATTATTTTCATATTGTATTTGTTGGACTCTCGCCTTTTGTCTCATTGCCTCAAAATCCTAATATGCAGCATATGCTATGCTTCCAGGCAGCACCTATGCTGAACTCCTTCTCAACATGTTCCATATTCATGTTCTCCTCAACACCCAACACAGCTTCTCTTTATTGCTGCATGCCCAAATTCTTGGCATTCAAAACAGCTCATGGTTGACAGAATATATTATCGGACCTTGCACTTTACAAAGAAAATAACAATAAAAGATATATAATCTTTGGGATGTATTTTATGTCCAACTCTATTCTTTCAGCACTATTCACTATAATACACCAATATTTATTCAATATAGTTTACCGTTACTCTGCAATATAATAATTAAAATATCCATACTCACATTTGTTGTCTATTAATCACAGTCATGCAAGACATATCAAAGTTGCCAGTGTCTATGGCTTTATGCAAGCCATTATATTGTTAACAAAATTGAAAAAAGAAAAAAAAACGTTCATGATTTAGGCTTTTTACTAATTGCAGTTCATCTCATTGCTTCACCAGTGTCAAAACAATTTAAAACATTTTTTTTTGTAAATTACACTTTACAAAATCAGCTTTTAGTGTTACTTCACTGATTTCTCACTTTAGTTTACTCATCATAGAGAGCATAATTAAGCAAATGGAAAATTTATTATAATCTCCAAGCCTGAGACAAATAACATGTATGATGTCACCAGTGTTATTTGTCTCATTCTTGGAGATTTTACAATGTATTGTATATAGACAAATCTTTTCAGATTCTGCTGCTTCAATTTTTAAAAATTCTTTTAAACTGTATCTCTTGTTATTCCCACAACTTAATGGAAGTGCATTACTACATTTCCGGCATGGATCCACCCTTTAAAAGCATCATGGTAGCCAGGAGATCCTCCGACATGCTATACAGTGATGTGATGTACAGTAATCATTTCTTGCCATCACAAAAACTGGTGCAAATGAACACTTTACTATGTATTATAACATTTGACATGACAAAATTCTACACTATTCACCTTGACATCACATGTTTAGAAGGGCATTTGATTAGTGTCTGCTTATGGTTGCAGCACTCACTCCAGCATCAAGATATTGTTTTCGATGGCATGTGGCTTGCTCCCGCTTGTTTCCAAGATGACTGAAGAGCAGTCAAAAGAAGCGGTAGTCAGTGGTTACTGTGGTGTCCTGCACTGGCTGAACTCTATGCTCCTTCTCCTCAACTTCTCGGGCTGGAAAGACGCGAGGAGAGAAAACTCGCGAAAGACATCAACGCAGGATAATTCACCTGCAACAGGGACACTGAAGTCAAAGTGGGTTTGTCCCATCTCAGAGCACCGTGGAGACTGCAGTGTCCAAATTTGAGGCTTTTGCATACCTTTACCCTCAGTGAGTAATACCACCAAGACGTTCATTGAACATGATACAGCATCATACATGAAGAAAATAAGCCAACAAATAGTGCAATCTCCATCCAACCACAGTTCCCAATCCACCAACAAAGACGGACAGGCCTGAACCTTTGCATGAAAGAGAAAATGGCCCAAAGCAAAGCCTCCAGACAGCTGTTTGTCAGATGTTTTTCTAATCTTTTTACTAATTCTTTCTACTTTAGAGCCACATAAAACATTGATTCTTTCTGGTACAATAGATGACTATTTCTTCAAAACATCTTTGGTACATGAGTAAATGCTTTTCACATACCTGCTACAAACGTAATATGTGTTTTATGAACACTTATAAAAGATACCTTCTAAACCTTCTAAATGTGACTCTTGGTTAATTTGACAAAGGTGAAGATCAGAGCCTTGCAGATCTATTTCACTCCTGCATCATCCTGGGATCCTTTTTACTCTTTTTTAAGTCACTAGCAAGTTATACCTACATTTGTGGGCTTGACATACCTATTTATATTTAATAATATGTCATAAAAGGGAATGTACTACACTTACCCATTCTCTTTAACATGGGGGTCTATGAATATGCCTATGAATAGTTTCCAAATATAAATGCATTACACGTTTTAGACACAATCCACTTCTACAAAAGATTTCCGTCTACATCCTTCATTGCTCCTCAGAACCCAAAAATTATCAAGACCCCTTAAAATATTTCAGTAAGTGTGCAACAGAACCCCCCAGCCACCAGAGCAGAGAGAATCAAAGTATCACACGTGTTCTGGTAAGACAGCCCGGCATGCTTCACTCACTCTATCCCGAACATCCTTTGCTTTAACTCTTCTGCCACCTGTGACACCCCCTGGTAACAAAAGCAATGATATGTCAGTGTGATTATTTACTCAGGTGTGTGAAGTATATGACACGCAATTAGACATCTCTAGCATGTGACAACATTTCTCAGGGATGGTGGAACAATGCTTGTGAGAAAACACAAATGTTTTAGATCTTGGAGACACTAAATTATTCAAGGCACAGTGCGGCTGCTGCAGGCTAGAGACTGATATGCTATTTTAAACACATGTGACCGTTGACACTTTAGTTGTCCTTTCATTGTGTGTTGACATTGATAGTAGTGTGGGGATGTCCAAGTGTACACCTCCTTTATATTTGTTATTGTGAAGGAAACCACTTAATTGGTTTGAATAGGCCCAGTGCTACCCAAAGGTATGTTATAGATCAAAAGACACACCAGATTGAAAAACATAGCATTCTCCCAACATCAGACAATATTTCTTCAAATAAAATTTGACTATTTTCTGAGATAACTCCAAAATATTGCTGCTGTGTTGAGAGAAGGATATGCATAAGAGATGAGACGGGAAACAGAAATGAGTGCAACAAACGGAGCAGGGTTAGTTCATAAAGAGTTTCAGTTTTATTGTATGCTTTTTGTCTTTTTTTCCCTTCAGTGCTTCTAAAGACAAGGAAGAAAGTATTCCAAATATATCCAAATGCCAGTGCGCAGAATAACACTTCAAAGAAATGCAGAACTAAGGTACAGTTCGGCCTAACAGGCTGTTGTTTTTGGAAGAGAATAAAAAGACAGTTATAAACCAGATCGCACAGTCCGGATCTGTGATTGAATGCGAAGAGGCAGAAAGTTGGGTTAAAATACACAAGTGTACTATTTACAACAGGTTTGCTTTGAAAAGCATTTTTAACCACATATGTCAATACACACAATGGACACAACATTAAACACCCGCTAAAGTGAGGACCTTTAACAGTTTGGTCACAGTAGCTCCACATCAACCCCTAGACTGCTTCTACTTGCAGTACATTGAACCATTGCAGAATATCACTTCATCAAAATCTCTCAGGTCTGTCACATTTCTGTAACCTATTTTCAATGTGTAAGCACACCAACAGTGTTTCTACCACTCTACCGCTTCTCAAAGCATGGTAAAAATATGCTTTACTAAATCTACTCTGTATGATATCACTTTTTTTTTTACTGAAACTGTTCAATGTCAGACACTTTCCCTTTAAAAAGTCTTTGGCAGAGGAAATAAACCACAACATAAAACCAAACAAAAATCACTAAAAAAAGACAGGCATGAGAAGTTCACCAAAGATTTGGTCCACATATGCAAGGATGGCAGAGGTGCAAAAAGTGACATATTTCTGACAACAGAGGGCTCATGGTGGTACATGCTTCTTCCACGAGACTGCACTGCACGACATGATCAAACCATAATGAAATATCTTATCATGCTTGGGATGTCAACGATGTTGAACTTCCTAAAGTAAATTTTGATAAAGCATGCAGAAAATACTGCGAGCATTGACCCAGGAGGGATGCCAGATATATAAATCTTTTGACCCCACAAATGTATAAACTCTTCTAAAGAAGAGTGCACCTTTATCTCACCTCCAATATCATAACATGGATGACTATTTACAACACAATAGAGGTGTCATAAACTGCCTTTGTTTTGTAAAAGGAAGTTAACCAAAGCGCTGTATAAAAGATGAGAAGCAAATCTATTTTATACACACCATCATATGTTGCCGCTCTACTTTGTCTGTACATAACATACTGTAATAAACAACTGATGACTGCATTTACTCTGTAACTACAATTTCCTTTTATTAGCTAGTAAAATCTTATTTAGTGATGTGTTTGAATGCCAATAACAATAGTAAGGCTGTTCCATAGTGATAATGAAATGAAAAATCATACATTACAATCTAAAGATAATAAATGGTAATCTAAAGACTCCCTGTCATTAATTCCAAGTAAGCTTGTTGTTGCTTGTAGTTCAAAATGACAATCATTAATGCAAACGCAGCCGTAAACTGCAATCATCAATGAATCAATGAATTGCACCGGTCCTCTGGTGAGATAAATATAAATAAAAAGCCAGAAATAAAATAGACAATAGATAGATAGACAAAATCTTGACGAGACAAGTACAATGTAAGGAAAATACATATAATACTGTAGTTGGGAAAAGTGCAAAGTTTCTTATTTCCTTTACATAATGTAATATCATATTTTTTAACTCTGCCTCTGAGCATTCTTTGACGCATACTCTACTGTCCACTAATTAATTAGTCACTCTCTTACTCTGTCACAAAGTACCTTACAAAGCAAGCAGGGGGCTCTTTGCAAGGCGTTTCTCAGCATTTTTGTCACAGTTTTACAATAAATTTCCCTTCCTGACATTTTCTATATACCGTAAACTACACTGCTCACCTGTACTGCAGCAGTTAACTCTTTTTTTACAGGAAATGGAACAAATACCTCTTTTCACCTCATGCCACAGCACACGTTTAAAGATTACCCATATAACTTCTAAATAAGTATATCTACAATCTCCAAAAGATGGTTAAGTTGGAGGTCACGCAGTGGATGGATATGGTGTACTAGAGTTTTCCGAGCTAGGAGCTGATAGGCAACAGTAAACCCACACCCTCGCTCGAGAGGTTACACCACGGTAACTGGTGTAAACAGCAAATGTCATTTTACTGTGTGTCTCATGTAGCTAGCACGGCTTGTTGTTAGCGAGTTATGGCAAGCAGAAACATAGTTGCGATGCAGAAAACTTGGTGGTGGTGACTGTATTGTCAGTAGCGTTACAAAGGTCATTCAGGTGTCTCCCCATGAAACAACACCCCTCCATAAAGCGCAAGTGATACGCTCCTCTCTCCTTATACACCCAGAAATTGATCATGTGTAGAGACAACTTCGTCTGCACCATTTTCTTTAGGTTTTAATTCAGAAGGAAGGTATGTATATATTATATATATGTATATAAAATATATATATATATTAATATATTATATATATCTATTATTATAATATTATATATTATATAATATTATATATATTAATGAAAGAGAAAGAGAGAGAGAGAGAGAGAGAGAGAGAGAGAGAATATGCTTTGCTTAGCACTCGTCTATGGTGAGGCAGATAAATTCTTGGATGCACTTCCTATACTGCTGCTCAGTGGGGCTGCTACTGTGGTATGGACCTGGTTGACCCAATGGAGCCTCCGCCTCTCGCATCTCCTCGTTCATGCGTGCAAGACGTAATCTGGAGGAGAGTAGAGGGAGACAAGTGATGGACCAAAGGGACATGGAAGCAGTTACTAGTTATTAGTTATTATAAACTTCAATAGTTATTATAAACTTCAATACAAGGGCTGGTTGAACTAGGATCACTCACAAGGTGACGATGTCTGCATTGGCAGCCTGGACGGCGATGCTTAGGGGGTCATGACCCTGCTCATCCACCTCCGTCTGAGATGCCCCCCTCTTCAGGAACAGACACACTTGACTGCACAAAACAAGAATTAGACACGAAGGAGTAAAGTGAACATGAGAGCTATTGACATCATGACAGACGAGGAGAGGTCGAATTAAATGTATTGTCTAATAGAGTAAGAAGAGCAGATAAACTAATGGGTTAAAGTGATGCGTGGATGATTCACGGATTGGGCAATGCAATCGTTTGTCTTCTTAATCTTTTTTTTATCGCTCCTCCTGCAGTTACAGATATGGAGTGATTTCCTCTTGCTGTGGAAAAACATATATATATAATCACTATGCTAGGGAGATAAGACTTAACAAGAATGCATGCCATTCAAATAGAGCGGAACAGAGCTTTCACACAGTGCTGTTGTTGTGATGTTATGCGTCACTCTTTTACTGGCCAAGTAGTAGAAGATTATCTGCAGTTACAAAAATTGGCCATGAAAAGTTTTGGTTATTCTGTGTTCGCACTAAACGTGGTACCAAGGGTAACAAACAAGTAGGAGAAGCCCCCTAATAACAAGTTGCAGGCGATCTTTACCCAGTGTGTCCCAGGTAGGTGGCGTGGTGCAGCGGGCCTCTGCCTCTCATGTCTCTCTGGTTCACATCGGCTCCGTTCTGCAGCAGGAACTCACACGCTATCAGGGATCCCTAGTACACAGACACAGATGGTTATATTCATTTGCTCTGACAACTCTTGTTTGGCGTATTTTAACAAGATTTCCAATATAGTTTGTTTGTTTTATTATTTTTTTAAAGAAGGGAAAGTTGTGCATTCACAGCAGCAGATAGTAGGTTATAGGAAAAGATCTTTCCCATGTTTTTAATCGCTTCCATCTTTACGGCTGTGTTTAATCTCACATAAAGTCTGTGTTCTTCAGCATGTTATCCGCTTTTAATTATTAACCCAGAACGTCTCCATAATGATTAAAGATCTCAACAATAAAAATGGTGAGGACATCACATAGAAAGTTCAGTTAATTAGGCTAAACCTCTTCCAGCTAACCACTTAACAAGCTGAGCAGTCCCTCACCCCAGCCACGGCTTGAATGAGTGGCGTTTTGCCCTCCTCCTCATTTGCAGCGTGTATGTCTGCACCGTGTGCCAGAGCCTCAGCCATGAGAGGTAGGTTGTGTAGACGGGCGGATCGGTGGAGGAGAGCCCCGGGGTGGAGCTCCCTCTGGTCTTCGGGGTCTGAAGACACTTCCTGCTCTATCTCTACCTCACCGCTGGAGGACTCCTCAGACTCCTCATCTGAGGTGAGGTAAGATTTTAAAAAAATGATGGAAAGAAATCGGGAGATCGTCTTCTCTAAACCAGATTTTTGGGGGAGGCAGGAGATATTTTCAAAAGGTAACCTATAATAAAACACGCACGTACCTTCTTCCGTGACACTGTCCACCACCGAGCCAAATACCAGGATGTCCGTGCTGCCGTCGGTACTTCCTCCCAGGCCGCTGTCGCTGCTAAGACCTGCGGGGCCAAGCATTGCCAAGCCACGGACACGTTAATCATTACACAGCACATACTGTTCTTCTCACGCACACCGCCATCACTGGAGCAGTCAACGGAATCAACCGAATGTGCTTCAGAAATTGCAATACAAATGTTCTGAGCTTGTGAATTTGTCTGTCGCTGAACTCTTCTCTGGATCGTCCTGAAAATGGGCACTAATCTTGTAAGGGCGTTGCAGCCTGCATGTACCGACTGTGAAGTGGACTTACTGCGAGGACCGGAGCCAGTGTCAAAGTAGGAAAATAGGGAGTCCAGCTCATCTGGACAAAACAGGGAGTCCCGGCGAAACTTTGCTGCAGCAGCTGTCCAAGGACCAAACATCACAACAAAGTTGTAATTGTAGACTCTATACTCACTCATTTTGTGCAGTTCTGGATTTCAGTTCTTATTAGTTAATTGTCTGCACTGACCTGCTGAGAGGTTCGCAGGTGAAGCACTTCCCGGCTCGTAGCGATGATATCTCATGCGGGCCTTGTTGGGGGCCCGAACAGAGCTGTTGTGTCGATGGCACTTTTTTACTGTCCAGGGACGGAACTTCCTTTCCCCTTCCACTAAAGCCTCGCTCCCACTCATCTTCGTCAGGAAGCGTTTCTCCACATACTTTGCTTTGATCCAAGCCTCTTTCTCCTGTCTGGAGGTAGATGGTCACAAACTGACAATTTTAGACAATTGGAGACATGACATATACAGATAATCAGTTTAGCGTGGATTGAATCATAGGTAAAAAAGAATTGCTATGATGGTCTCTTGCCAAATAGAGTAAAAGCTGACCTTGAACTGGAGGGTCTGGGTTTTTTTGCTCTCAGTTCTTTGCAGGCTCCCTCATAAATATGGTTGATCACAGTGTTCCCCAATTCACACATAAGCTAAACAAACATGGGAGTACAACGTAGAAGAGCAAAGTAAAACATTAAGATGTAGACGTAAATAAGTATTTCAAATTGTTTTTTAAAGCGCTAAGGAATGACAAAAGCACAGAACAGAGAGGAGAAGCTGCAAAAAAAGGTGTTTGGGAGACACACCTTGAGTAATTCTGGCTCCCATGAGTCTAACGTCAGTGAACGCACTTTAGAGCAATGAACACCTAAACTCCTGAAAGAAACAAAAATCATTATATATAAGTAAATATGAAATATTATCCATATACTGTAAGTATATAACAGATATAATATATATATATATACACACACAGATATATACATTTTTAGAGCTTTTACTGAGGAGTTGAGATAATAAAGTGGAACTATATTTGACAACATAAGCATATCAGTGGACACATTACATACTTTCGGTCCGGGGGGAAGACACAGTCACCTACCATGGCCCTGACGCTATCAAAGGCTTTTTCATTTTTGGGGGAATTTTTCCTGTGCTAATGTGAGGGTTTCGGGACAGGGGATATCACATGTGTAATGACTGTAAGGCCATCTGAGGCAAATTTGCAATTTGCACTATTGGGCTATAGAAAATAAAATTAATTGAATTGCGTTACCTGCAAATAAGATATGAGGCTTTAATGCAGATGTTTGCTCACGTAAGTTGTATGAATGAAACAAGCAGAAAAATAACACAACTTTCACTGGGGCAGGCTGTAACATGTCAGGAGGAAGTCGCAGAACGTTGGTTATTTTTTGCAACACCTTGCTATTAAATGTTGTTTCATACTAACAAACAATTCTTTCATGCTTGTTTCCGCCTCCAAGCCTACGCTCTCGTATTGTCTGATGAGGTCACCTGTGGATCCCTGAGCATTCAATGCAAAGCAGCACTCCCAGGTTGATGGAGGCCCAGCACGGGGCTGTTTGGCCGCAGTCACAGCACAGCTCATTGCCCGGCAGGCCCTGTACCCTCTGGAGGAGGCTTTCCACGCCTCCCCGGATGACCTTATCAGACCTCTCCCCCCTCTCTCTGGGCTCGCTAGCAGAGTCGATACTGCTGGTGGAGGGCGAGGCTGTCCGGTCCAAACGCTGCAAACACAGGGGGACAAGTCAGAGACAGACATTCTGAAACTACCTGGGGAGCAATTTGTATTGAACAGTAACTCAGTTTGTGAGTCGTTATGTGATTGTTGCGTTGTGTAGTCATGTATTCTTACCTCAATGTAATAATTGTCGGCGATATCTTTGTAAGCGGAGGCGATGCTTGCCTGGACCGCCTGGATCCAAGCTTGCCGCAGCTTCTCCGATTCTGCCTGCAGCATACAGCTCCTGTAGGTTTGTACATGGCAGTTATGTAATACCTGCTGTCTAATGCTATTTAGCTACATGTCATTTGATTTATTAGTAAAATAAAATTGATCATCATTTGTCAATAATGTAACAATGTGTTAGTGAACATCTAAGAAGATAACAGCAAAAGAGAGTTTAAAAGAGTTTTAGTTTAGCTCAACCATCATCCTGTTGAAAAAAGCACCCCCACACACACAAAGACACATACGCACGCACACAGACTCACTTAGTGGGTGAGACAACCTCAAAGCAGAACCTGCGCTCATTATCTTCACACGGTTTGACAGAGCACAGCCTCAGGTCCTCCACCACAACTGTCAAAGAGTCCTGTCATTGGGAGAGAGGGCGTTCACAACAACCCAACAACAAATCTTATTTCACCCTTCAATCCACAAAAGAAGATCATCACCCTCATAAATCCACCATTCTTCCCTTCTAACGTTCAAACAACTCTAAACCGTCAACACTTTTGTTTAATCTCAGCGATGAATTGGTTTAATTTGAATTGACTAAATCAAACAGTACCTTAAGTTTCTTCTGGTAGACAAGCTGGCTGTTTTGTATAGAAAACCAGCGCCTGGATGAGGGGAGAAGGAAGGACATTTGACAAAGAGAGAAAGGTAAATCAATAAAATGTCTGCATGCTGAAATTTGTCCTGGAAGGCGAAGGCACTAGTCTTTACAAAAGTGATTCATAAATGTATTGATAAGTATGAATGAGTTTTGTAATAAAGTAAATACAAATGAAGTAAATTCTTTTTTACAAATCAATTTCTTGTCATCCATCTCACCAAGGAGTTCATATACAGTAATCAAAGTAATAAAGTAAATAAAGAGCATTAAGATTGTGGCATTCAGAATTTGATAAAAAATAGACATTTTTTCTCAAAAAAACAACACAAAGCGGACCCGACCGTACATGACATAGTCCTTGTTTTGATATTTAATCCAGTTTACTAACTAACTAAACTGTTTTACTGTGAACTGTTTTGCATGCGAGCCGTTTTTTATTGACTTCAAATCAAAATGTCTTTTGAAATGGTAAATTGACTGTCTGTTATGCTCTCCCTCTTCACTCCTTTACCTGTTCCAGGTCTTGAAAGCGTTGCTGGCCCTCTTGAAGAGGTAGCCCTCCATGACCACACCATTGGGTGCATCCACATTAAATTCCAACTTGGTGTCATCATAAGAAAAGTCCTGTAGACATAACAGGTTCACAAGATCAACGTATGTTAAAGTTACATTACACCCCCCTGCCCCCCAACTCTGACCTCCGTCGCGGCTGACGAGATCAAACATTTCCCTTTTACGAGCCGGGCCTCCTGCAATTTTAAGGCTCCTCTCTGAAACCCTTCTGGAGGAGTTAGCTTTCTATCTGTCTGCGACTCGCAGATGCAGAAAACTTGCTACTCGCTATTCTTCTTAATGGCGCTAACCAGGACCCGCACACACGTTTCCAACTGAGGTTGCAACTTGGCGTGTATCCAAGATCAAAGATTCTTTAATATCGAAGACGTATCAAAGATGTTGTTCCAGTGACATGGTCATTTTTAGGTTGACACACACACACACACACACACACACACACATATAACATTACAGACACGTCTGTTAAATTATGCAAGATACATTTACGGAAGATATTAAATCAGAGCTTCTGCGTTGGCATACAGTCTGGGATCAGTTGGACCAAATTCTAATTAATAGTAGATAGAGGCTGAAAGGAAATGTAGAGACCAAAGAAGACAAATCCCCAGTTTCAATCAAGTTGAAGATGACCTTATCCGCCAAGCACTGATTCATCACTAAATAGGCTTCAAACTCATATATAAAGAATTCTACATGTGCAAATACCCCATTACTGTGAATAAACAAATAAAGGTTATAGTTTAATTATTTGAAATGAGTGACCAAGTATAGTAAAAAACTCTTGAGTCGAGGTGGCTTAATATCTCTCTCTCTCTCTCTCTCTCTCTCTCGGTGCATGCTGGGAGTGAGTGTGTGTGAGTGTGTGTGAGCGTCCTGAGTGAGCGGTTTTTCTCTCTTTGTTCTTTTTTTCCCTTAGTTAGATATATTAATTTAATGTGGTTTAGTGGTTGTTTTTCACTTTAGTTGTGGGGTTAGTCGTTGGGGTTCTTTTTCTTTGGGTTTCTTTTCTCCTGCCGGTGTCTCGCCGGTCGGCGTCTCTAGACGCCATGGTAAATGGAGACACGTTCTCCCAGCTCACGAGGAAGCACGGCATTAAGATCGCCGCGGGCTTCCCGTGCAGCGTGGAGGACATCGGGTTGGCTGTGGGGGAAAAGGTCGGGCACGGCAGCGTTAAGTCGGCCTCGCGCATGAACGGCGCCGTGGTCATCTTCCTGGACCAGGTGGAGAAGGTGAACCGTGTCGTGGAGACGGGCCTCACGGTGAAAGAATTGTTTGTCCAGGTGGTGCCATTAACGCAACCGGCAACAAAAATCGTACTATCAAATGTCCCTCCGTTCATCACCGACGAGTTCCTCAGTAGAGAGCTGTCCAGACACGGAAAGGTGGTCTCACCGATCAAAAAGATCTTGTCTGGATGTAAGTCTCAGTTACTGAAGCACGTGGTGTCTCACCGCAGACACCTGTATATGATCCTTAACAACCGGAATGTGGAGCTCAACCTCCGCTTCCATGTTAAGGTAGATGATTATGAATACGTGATTTTTGCAACATCCTCGTCGATGAAATGTTTCAGCTGCGGTGAGGAGGGGCATTCCGTGAGAGCCTGTCCGGGGCGCGGGGTCCCTGCTCCGCCTGTCCCGGGAGCGGCGGCTCCTGCCGCGGTCGCGTCTCCGGCTGGGGACGCGGCAGTCGCGTCTCCTGCGGGGGGCGCGGCGGTCGCGTCTCCGGCCGGGGACGCGGCGGTCGCGTCTCCGGCCGGGGGCGCGGCGGTCGCGTCTCCTGCGGGGGGCGCGGCGGTCGCGTCTCCTGCGGGGGGCGCGGCGGTCGCGTCTCCTGCGGGGGGCGCGGCGGTCGCGTCTCCGGCCGGGGGCGCGGCGGTCGCGTCTCCTGCGGGGGGCGCGGCGGTCGCGTCTCCTGCGGGGGGCGCGGCGGTCGCGTCTCCTGCGGGGGGCGCGGCGGTCGCGTCTCCGGCGGGGGGCGCGGCAGCGGGGGGGCATGGTAGTGGTGCTGCTGAGCCTGACCTGCACGATGTGAGTATGAATGTGAACGGTGATGGTGATGGTGTCCAGGGCAGTAGGGAGGGGGATTTGGCTACAGTGGGAAATGGTGAGGAGGGAGGGGATCAGACAGGAGCGGGTCAAAGCAAGCCTGTAGAAGAGGCAGAACAGGGTGGCGGAGGGGAGGGGGGATATAAAAGTACGAGTGGGGGGGGGTGGGCTGAGCAGGTGGAAGAAGCAGAGATGGAGGAGGAGGAGGAGGAGGAGGAGGACGACGACTGTGGGGCGGGGGAAAAAAAATTTGCCCCCAAAAGAAAAAGTATGGCAAAAAACATAGGCAGTGAAGCCAAGGCCAGCAAGGGAGGGGAGGACATGAAGACTGGTCGGGGGCAGAGGCAGTCAGAGGACAGCGACAGTGAGGAGGGCTTGTCGGACTGCAGCGATGCCCCGACATTTTTAAGTAACAGCCAACAAAAAAAAATGTACGGCGCTGTAAAAAATAAGTATGTTTTAAAGAAAACAAAAGGGAAAAAGGGGGTAGAGGTCATAGATTTCTTCCCCGATCTTAACTTGTTTTACATTTCCGCCAGACACCATATGAGCCGGAGGGAAGAGTCCGGCCTCACTGAGCAGGAGGGCTACAGATTAAAGAAGCTCCTAGGGAAAGTACGCAGAGCAATCAACAAGGGCAATGTCGAAATCTCCAATGTGTGTTTTAATTAATTTATTGGTTTTTATTTTTGGTGTAAACTCACTCAAGATGAATTCTTTTAAAGTGGGAAGTTTAAATGTGAACGGAGCCAGAGATGAGAAGAAGAGAGCATCTATTTATGAATTAAAAAAATTGAAGTGTATTGATGTTCTCTTCTTACAAGAAACTCACAGCGACAGCACCAACGAGGCCGACTGGATGAGGGAGTGGGAAGGGGAAGTCCTCCTAAGCCACAATACCAACCTCAGTGGAGGAGTGGGCTTCCTCTTCTCCAGGTCTTTTAATCCACTGTCACTGGAGGTCAAACACATCATCGAGGGGAGGTTGTTCTTAGTCAAGGCACGGTTCGACCTTTTTACTGTTGTTTTTATCAATGTGTATGCTCCAACAATCGGTGCAGAGAGGAAGCTGTTTTTACAAAAAATTGATAATGTTTTAAATGGCTGTGCCCCGGAGGATTTTTTATTTTTGGGGGGGGATTTTAACTGTACGGAAAATGATTTGAAAGACCGTAATCACGCAGAGCCACATCCAGCTTCCCAGCGCGTTCTGAGGCAGCTGGTCCAATCTCATGGTCTGGTGGATGTGTGGAGAAGGATGCATGCAGACTGCCGACAGTACACGTGGTCCCTTTTTAGAGAAGGTAGGATCTCCTCAGCCAGGTTAGATCGTTTTTATGTTTTTAAGCAACATTTTAATATTTTTAAGATGTGCAGTATTGTCCCTGCTGTTTTTACTGATCATTCTTTGCTTTTATGTAATGTTTTTATTGGAAACGTTTTACCTAGAAGTGCATATTGGCATTTTAACTCTGTATTAACTAGTGATAAAAATTTTAGAGAGGTCTTTGTATACTTCTGGGGTGTTTTTAGGCTGAGGAAGAGTGAGTTTAGCAGTCTTAAACAGTGGTGGGACCACGGGAAGATTGAGATTGGGCTCCTCTGTCAACAGCACACCTTCAACGTCACCAGAGACATCGCTAGATCTATGAAGGACCTGGAAACTGAGATAGTGGAACTAGAACATTTAAGCGAGTCCACAGGAGATCGAGGACATTTTGAAGTCCTCAAAGGGAAAAAAATGGCTCTGGCCGACCTGTTTAACGTTAAAGTCCAGGGTGCACTGGTCAGGTCCCGATTTCAGACCATCACAGAGATGGACACTCCCTCTAGCTTCTTCTTCGGCCTGGAGAAGAAGAGTGGGCAGGGGAGGGTGATCCACTCACTGTTAGGTGACGCAGGGCAGCCGGTTGTGGAACCATGCCAGATTAGGAAGCGAGCTGTGGCTTTCTTCTCCTCCCTATATACCAGTGAGCACGGGGAGGAGGAGGCACTGATGGATGAGCTCTGCAGTGAGCTTCCTCAGGTCCAGGAAGAGACCAACGCAATGCTGGACAGGCCAATAAGCCCAGGGGAGCTAAGGGCCGCCTTGATGGGCATGCAGGGAGGGCGTGCCCCGGGAATTGACGGCCTCTCGGCCGAATTTTACAAGGCGTTCTGGGACATCCTCGGCGATGACATCCTAGAGGTGCTAAATGACAGTCTGGCCTCTGGTTCCATGCCGATGTCCTGCCGCAGGGCAGTAATAACGCTACTGCCAAAAAAGGGAAACCCGCAGGACATCGGCAACTGGCGCCCTGTGTCCCTGCTGTGTGTGGATTACAAGCTCCTGTCCAAGGTCTTTGCCTCCAGGCTGAGGGAAGCTATGGAGCAGGTCATCCATCGGGACCAGACCTACTGTGTGCCCGGCAGGTCCATGGTGGACAATGTCTACCTCATTCGAGATGTTTTGGAGGTCTCCAGCTCATTGGGCAATAAGCACTGGCCTGATTTCTCTAGACCAGAATGCTTTGACGCGTGAGCACACTCTCTGTAAGTCATGCGGAGGTTTGGGTTCAGCACAGGTTTCATAGCTAAGATCAAAGTGTTGTACAGGGACATTGAGAGTGTGCTGAAGATAAACGGCAGTCTGTGTGCTCCTTTTAGAGTGTATAGAGGAGTCCGGCAGGGTTGTGCTCTGTCCGGGATGCTCTATACACTCTCCCTGGAACCCCTTCTCTGCAAAATACGCTCTAGCCTGGAGGGCCTGGTTTTACCTGGTTTTAGTAGAAGAATGATTTTATCAGCGTATGCCGACGATGTTGTTGTTTTTATTAAAGACCAGAGGGATGCAGACCTTTTAAATAACATCGTGAAAAGTTTTAGTAAGGCATCGGCAGCGAGGGTGAACTGGAAAAAAAGTGAAGCCCTCGCTGTCGGTGAATGGCGTGGCGGCCTCCCAGTTCTTCCCCAAAGCCTAGTGTGGAGGAAAGATGGATTTAAATACCTGGGGATTTATCTGGGACAAGAGAGCATCGTCCAGAAGAACTGGGAGGGCGTCACAGAGAAGATAGAGGGGAAACTTTCCAAATGGAAATGGCTGCTCCCTCAAATGTCTTTTAAAGGTAGAGTTTTGGTTTTAAACAACCTGATTGCATCCCAGCTGTGGCACCGTCTTACCTGCCTGGACCCTCCCTCAGGCTTCCTCGCCAACTTACAGAAGAAAATGGTGGATTTCTTTTGGGGGGGTCTACACTGGGTGCCACAAGGGGTGCTGTTTTTAGCCAGAGAGGAGGGGGGACAGGGCCTCGTCCACCTGGCCAGCCGGACGACCACTTTTAGACTCCAGTTTTTACAGAAATATCTCACAGGTCCGGAGTTTTTAGTATGGAGGGACGTGGCCAGCTGCATTTTTAGACGTGCAAACAACCTGGGGCTGGATACTGCTCTGTTTTTAATTGATTCTAAATTTTTAAAGTTAAATGGGCTACCTCCATTCTTATTACTCACTCTCTCTCTCTCTCTCTCTCTCTCTCTCTCTCTCTCTCTCTCTCTCTCTCTCTCTCTCTCTCTCTCTCTCTCTCTCTCTCTCTCTCTCTCTCTCTCTCTCTCTCTCTCTCTCTCTCTCTCTCTCTC